CAAGTTCTAGCTAACTGAAACCAACAGCACAATAAAAAGATAATACATCATGGTCAACTGGGTTTTACTCCAGGGATGCAAAGACTGGATAAAATAAACATGTCAATAAATATGATTCACTGTATAAACATAATTTAAAAAAATAAGACCATCTCAATGGATGCAGAAAAATTATTCAGTAAAATTCAATACCCCTTGTGAAAAATCCCTCAATAAGCTTAGCAGCAAAGAAACAGACCTCAAAATATTAAAAGCCACATCCAACAACCAACAAAATCTCTTAAGGATCTTAAATAATAAATAAAACAATAAAACAGGGATCTTCTTAAATTTCGTAAAAACATATACAACTGATTTATTCCATGGGCTGCTAGTGACTTAACAGTGAAGACATGAGTGACTGGAAAAAAGCCACATACAACAAAATCTCACATCATACAAAATGAGAAAAAGTTGCAAAAATATTCCTGAAGAACATGTACAGGAATGCACACTTTCACCACTCCTATTCAACGTATTACTGAAACTCCTAGCCAGAATAATCAGGAAAGAAAAAAAGAAATGTGTGATTCAAGTTCCAAGCTAAGGAATCCAGGAGGGGCATACCCAGGGACTCATTTTTTATCCACGAATAACATCCAAACCCCTGCCTATCCCTTGGAATGCAGGATTTACCGGTGATTGAGGCTCTTTGTTTCGGGTTAAATGGAAGTTGCTAGGTGGAGGGTGTTATGTGAAAATTACTACATAAGCTGAATAATTTTTGTCAAATGGTCATAGTTTTCTTGTCCAGCCTGCTGTACCTGAACCACACTGTGTGACAGCCCTCAGTAAACTCTATGTCCTGTTCACTGATCTGGGTTTATTTCTTTGGCCTGTTGCACATGATGCCAGTCCTATTGGAGTCAATATTGGTCTGGCATGACATCCAGGGAACCTGGCAAAAGGTAAAAAAATCTGATGAACGCCCACACAATGGACCCTAAAAAGAGGAGACGCCTGCAGAAATCCTGGGCAGGTTGTGAATTTCTATGTGTGGCCCAACAGCTGTTGTCTGTGATGGATGGGGCCGACTGCATGAGTATGGGGATGCTGCCAAAATGCCAAGCGTTCTGGAAGAACCACTTCAGAGGGTGCATCTTACAAAGTGAAAGTCAGATGCTCAAGCTGTTGCATTTGCAGGTGGTGGGTCCCTCCCGACTGCACTCTGAACAGCCACTGAGGCAGAGCTCACTGTGTGGGCTACCGTGTGTCAGTCACAAGAAGAGCTACTCCTAGAAAAGCATGCCAGACTAGCTCAGACTAATCAGAGACCTTTCTGTCCTGGTTTGTAAGCACAATGGTAAGTTGGGGGCGGTGGCTTGTTGAGACCACATCTGAAGGATTTCTGACCATCACATGAATAAGGTATGGCTATGATGACTAAATTTTCCTGGGACCCTAAGACCTAGGATCCCCTGAAGAGCTCTAGGCTGGGTGCAGTGGCTCACGCCTGTAATCTCGGCCCTTTGGGAGGCCAAGGTGGATGGATTACCTGAGCTCAGGAGTTTGTGACCATCCTGGGCAACACGGTGAAACCCCGTCTCTACTAAAATACAAAAAAAAAAAAAAAATAGCTGTGCGTGTTGCCATAGTGCCTGTAGTCCAGCTGTTTGTGAAACTGACGCAGAAGAATTGCTTGAACTCAGGAGGCAGAGGTTTCAGTGAGCCGAGATCACACCACTGCACTCCAGCCTGGTCGAAAGAGTGAGACTTCATGTCAAAAATAAAATAGAGAGCTCTAATGGGGAGGAGGATGAAGACTGAGGTAAGCCCATGGGGGCTCAGGTCCTCTCCACACATCTGGTGGCTACTACCAGGATAAAAATTGGCCAACTTTTATCTGTTCCAGCGGAGGCTAGCCTCTCTAGACATTTTCCACCTGAAGTAAGGAGGCACACCACAATGTCAGATTTCCCCACTGTGGAATTGCTGAAACTTAGAAATGGGTGCAGACAGAATTAGAGAGAGCTGATCATAAGGTGGTTTCTCCATCTATGAGGCATATGGGAGGAGGGCATTATACTCCCTGAACTCAAGACTAGTAAAGTGGCATCCTGTGGGTAACCCCCCATATAGGCACCGAGGAATGAGAGCTAAGCAGAACCCTGGCACAGTTAGGGCTTGAGGAATATCTCACTTTATAGTGTTACTACTCAGCTATTTCCTTTTATATAATCCTTTACATAATCATATATTAGTTTATAGAAGTAGGGCTTGAAGCCTCCCTTTATATAATCCTCTATATATAATCATATAATAGTTGATAGTATGAGTCCCTAAAGAATATTTCCCTACATATATACCTATAATTATATCTTACTTCATAATCGGAGGAATGCCTAGAGTGGACACAGTACAGACTATGAATTAAGGAATAAGCAGCTTATAATCAGAGGAATGCCTAGAGCAGACACAGTGCAGAGCATGATTTAAGGGAAAGACAGTTATACCAGGACAAGAATCCATGGCCCAGGCGGCAGCGTTCAGTATGGTAAAGATACCCGCTGTATGGCAGGCTTGGGGCGAGAGCCACTCCTCCTGATAAAGGAGTTGTAGGACCTTGCTCCAGTTCTTGTGGAAGGCTGCCCTCAGAACAACAATCCACCTTGGTGACTGTGAAATTTATCAGCTCTTGCTACTGTGCTGCTTGAAAAGCATCTTCCCATAGAACCCATTGGAAGCTGCCAGAAGGTGGAGGTAACCCTGACAGCTCTGTCACTGCTATGTGACTTAAAGCATCCTTCTATAAATCTTCTTAGAAGTAGTTTGCCCATAGATAAAAGTATCGCACACTGCACCCTCTTCACTGCGCACGGCCCACCTTCAAGCCTAGGTGACCTAATGGGGGTGGACCCCTTACTACACACGGCCCTTGCCTTCATGGGAATGGACTCTTTGCTGTGCACTGTCCACCTCCTGGCCTAGGTGACCTAATGGGGGTGGACCCCATGTTTTATTGCTCACGACCCTATCAGTATCCTTAAAGATGATTTCACTTACTGCCCTGCCCCCTAACCTATATACAATAAATACTCATGCTTCTGGACATTCGAGGCCTTGCCTGACTCCGATTATAAGTGGCGTGGACCCCGAGCCCAGCTGCAGTTTCTTTGTACTTCTGTGTCCTGTATCTTTATTTCTCGGATCCTGCGCCTCAGCACAGCATAAGGCTCATCCCATGACCCTGTGGGGCCATCAGCCAAACATCTGGCTCCCAACGTGCCCTGCAGCATCCATCACAAACTATTCTGGCCTGAGGCAGCACCTCGATGGTGTGAGTAATCCCCCTCCTTAGCTGGGAGTTTGCAGGCTGCAAGGGGCGCTGGTGAAATGGGGGAGACGTCCACTTTATTAGTTTGTCCTCTCATTGCCAGAAAGTAATAACTGAAACTGAGTGATTTATAGAGAAAAGAGGTCTGATTTACTCATGATTCTACGGGCTGTAGAGGCAGCATATCGATGGAATCTATTCAGCTTCTGGGGAGACCCCAGGGAAGTTACAATGACAGCAAAAGGCAAAGGAGGAGCAGACACTTTATATGATGGGAGCAGGAGCAAAGAAAGAGTGAGGGTGGAGGTGCTACACAGTGTTATACAGCCAAATCTCATGAGAACCCGTTTAGTATTATAGCAAGAGGATGGTGATTAAACCATTTATTATAAATCCGCCCCCATGATACAACCACAGGGCCCCACCTCCAACGTTAGGGAAGCAAAATCACATAAAGTTGTTGTGACAGGTGGGACATCCTGAAAACTCACTAGGCATGTCCCTCACCGTTCTGGAGCTGTCTCAGGGGAGCAGTCTCTTCAGTGTTTAGAGGCACAGGCACAAATACTGAGTCTAACTCTGTCCAGATGTGTGATATTGGACACACTGTGCAACTGCTCTGTTCTGTGTGTAATTTATCTTCTCTAAAAACGTGACATGGACACTTGCATTAAAGATATTCTGCAAATATATAAATATAAAATAAGATGATGATTGCTAAATTATTATCAAGGCACAGTAAGATAATCTGAAGTTATACTTTCCTGAGAGACAGGATTATCTCCAGTGTTTTCCAGGACACTCATGTGCTCTGGGCCCTGCCCTCTCCTCAGCTGCCCCACCCCAGAGCTTGCTTTGTAGCAGGAGACATGCAAATAGGGCCCTCCCTCTGCTCATAAAAGCCAGCCCAGCCCTGACCCTGTAGCTCTGGGAGAGGAGCCCAGCCCCAGAATTCCCAGGTGTTTCTATTCAGTGATCAGCACTGAACCCAGAGGACCCACCATGGAGTTTGGGCTGAGCTGGGTTTTTCTTGTTGCTATTTTTAAAGGTGATTTATGGAGAACTAGAGATACTGAGTGTGTGTGGACATGAGTGAGGGGAACAGTGGATATGTGTGGCAGTTAATGACAAGGGTGTCTCTGTGTTTGCAGGTGTCCAGTGTGAGGTGCAGCTGGTGGAGTCTGGGGGAGGCTTGGTCCAGCCTGGGGGGTCCCTGAGACTCTCCTGTGCGGCCTCTGGATTTACCTTCAGTGACTACGCCATGAGCTGGGTCCGCCAGGCTCCGGGGAAGGGTCTGGAGTGGGTCTCATCCATTAGTAGTAGTGGTAGTAACACATACTACGCAGACTCCGTGAAGGGCCGATTCACCATCTCCAGAGACAACGCCAAGAACTCGCTGTATCTGCAGATGAGCAGCCTGAGAGCCGAGGACACGGCCGTGTATTACTGTGCGAGAGACACAGTGAGGGGAGGCCCGTGTGAGCCCGGACACAAACCTCCTGCAGGAACGTTCAGGGGCATCAGCGGCAGGGGGCGCTCAGGAACCACTGATCAGAGTCAGCCCCAGAGGCAGGTGCAGATGGAGGCTGATGCCCTGTCAGGATGTGGGTCTTCATCCTCTTCTGACAGTTTCTCTAGTGAACCTCTCTGAGTTTAGAATTCTGTGTTTCCTAATGTCATCTCTATATATTTTTTAAAATATCATTTTAACATGTGGACCTATTCTCACATGCAGAAAATGCAGATGACCTTACAGAGATGAAAAGTCCTCAACTATGGTCACCAGCATCAGAGTCCTGACGAAGCTCAGCGGCGCCTGGTGAGTCTTCTCCAATCAGACCCAGGACAGAAACCTCAGGGAGATTCCCGGACTAGAACAGTCGTGAGGAATTTTGGCCTCAGACAATAGAGAGGCTGGGCCCGGTTCGGTGTCGTGTAGAACCTCACAGGTTTCACGTCTGACCCTTCTCCTGGTGCTAAAGCCAATCGCATCAGCACTGACCTGGGGCTCCTTTTGCTCCCATTCCATGTCCTTCCTTTGCAGTGCTGGTTCTCCCTTTTTTATTTGCTTCTCCTGCTTCCTGAAAAAGAAACAGATGGTCTCCATGGTCTACATTCCGGGCCTCAAGGCATTTTCTTGGAGCTCAGGTGGGGCTCAGGCTGTGGCTCCTGCAGCCACGTGGGAGAGGGTGACGGGGCTTCCTTCTCCCTCCATTTGCTCAGGACCCTCCACTGTGTTGTGTGTAGACTCATTTGGGAAAACAATTGGCCGTTAATAGTGAAGGGGATGAACTGAGGCCAGCTGTGAAGAGCATAGGCTCGGATACTGGGACTCACTCATGCCAGATATGAGCCCTTGGACACACACATAGCCCCTCCATGTGTGGGTTCACAACCATAACTGAAGAAACCACTGACTCCTAAATGACATAATTTATACACATAGGTAAAAATTACTAAAAATGTGACAGCTGTTAAATGTTTATCACAGATACTAAGGTTTTAAAAAGCTGCATACCTCCTTCAAAATTTGACCACAAGGAAAATCCTTGTGGACCAAGGACAGACAGAGTCATTTCTCTGCTCACGTAAGTTAAACGCGTATCTCACTGCTACATTGGCTCTATTGTTTCACTAAGCCAGACTAATGCCTGCATGACTATTCATGTAAATTGTGCATTCAGTTAAAGGCTAATCAGAAACTCAAAAGAATGAACCATTTGTCTCCTACCTACCTATGATCTGGAAGCTCTCTCCCTACTTCAAGTTGTCCTGCCTTTCTGAACCAAATCAATATACATCTTACATATATCGATTAATGTCTCATGTCTCCCTAAGTTGTATAAAACCAAGCTGTGCCTGCCACCCTGGGCACACATCATCAGGACTCTTTGAGGCTGTGTCACTGGCATGTCCTTAATCCTGGAAAAATGAATGTTCTAAATCTATTGAAATTAGTCTCAGGTATTCTTTGGTTTACAAGTTTCTTTCTTATCTCAGAACTTAAATTTTCTGAAATATTATGGAAAATTTGGCAAATAGCACATTCTCTTGTTTATCTATTACTGTTGTTGCAAAAAGTATTTATATAATTTATATATAATTTATCATCTATGTACATTAAAAAACTGAGTAGCAGATTTAAAATTAAAATATCAATTAGTAACTTAATAGAAAAACAAATTATGCTACATTTGTTTACTAAAATGCTACCCAGTATTTGTAAGAAATAAAAAAACACAACATAAAAGGTATAATTCTCAGTATTTCAACTGAGAAAAATAAGCCAAATATAAAAGAGTATATACTGCCTTATTTCATTCTTATAAATTCAACAAAATAAAAACGAGTTTAAAGAAATAGGGAAACATGAGTAGTTTTATAAAGACGTGGTAGAAGAACGGAAGGAGAAAAAAACAAAAAAATATAAAAGAGCAAGAAGAATGCTGGGGTAGGGGCAGTTGACTTGTCATCTTTTTGAAAATAGAGATTTGTTTCAAAGTTTACTATTGTACAGGTTAAATATGTGAATTTTATCATCTGTCAATTGAAACTTATAAAATTTATTACAAGTAAACAGTTGAAATTTTAGACATAAGGGATGACAGGAAGGAACAAATAAATATGTTAAAGGTCAGGTACACCTAAAATTTGTCTGCCTGACACCTAGCTGTCTCTGAATTCATAGGTAAATGCAGCAAAATCACACAGGGTCTTGTTACAGGAAGTGGATTCTGCAAACCACGCTAGGCCCGTTTTGCTCTGTCCTGTGTTGGCTAAGAGAGCAATTGAGGCCAGCTGTGAAGAGCATAGTCCTGGATACTGGGACTCACTCATGGCAGATATAAGCCATTAGACACATACACAGCCCCTCCATGTGTTGGCTCACTTTTACATCTGTAAATGAAGAAAATACTCCTAAATAACATAATAGATACACATGGGTAAACATAATTAAAATGTGAATGTTGTCAAATATTTATCACAGAACGTTTTCACAATAAGACAGCATGTTTTCTCAAATTCAATCATTGTCATCTAAATCCCCCAGGACACTCTCATCTGCTCTGGGCTCTGTTCTCTCATCAGGCGTCCAGCCCCAGAGCTTGCTATAGTAGGAGGCATGCAAATAGGGCCCTCCCTCTCCTGATGAAAACCAGCCCAGCCCTGACCCTGCAGCTCTGGGATAGAAACCCCAGCCTTGGGATTCCCAGGTGTCTTTATTCAGTGATCAGGACTGAACAAACAGGATTCACCATGGAGTTTTTGCTATGCTGGGTTTTCCTTTTTGCTTTATTAAAAGATGATTCATGGAGAAGTAGAGACATTGAGTGTGGGTGGACAGGAATGAGAGGAGCAGTGGGTATGTGTGGCAATTTCTGACCACGATGTCTCTTTGTTTGCAGGTGTCCAGTGTGAGGTGCAGCTGGTGGAGTCTGGGGGAGGCTGGGTTCAGCCCGGGGGGTCCCTTAGACTCTCCTGTGTAGCCTCTGGATTCACCTTCAGTAGCCATGACATATACTAGGTTCACCAGGCTCCAGGGAAGGGTCTGGAGTGGGTCTCAGCTATTAATTCTAGTGGTGTCACATACTATGCAGACTCTGTGAAGGGCAGATTCACCATCTCCAGAGACAATGCCAAGAACTCTGTGTATCTTCAAATGAACAGCCTGAGAGTGGAGGACACAGCTGTGTATTACTGTGGAAGACACACAGTGAGGTGAAGTCAGTGTCAGCCCAGACACAAGCCTCCCTGCAGAAACGCTGCAGGGAAATAAGCTGCAGGGGGTGCTCAGGAGCCACTGTTCAGAGTCAATCCCAGCGGCAGGTGCACACAGAGGCTGATTTCCTGTCAGGATGTGGGACTTCATCTTTTTACAGTTTCTCTAGGGAACCTCTCTAAGTTTAGAATTCTGTGCTTAGCTGTGTCATTTCTACATATTTTAAAATGATTATTTTAATTTGAGAACCTATTCTCATCTGCACAAAATGCAGACTGATGCTTAGAAATGAAAAGTCCTCAACCGTGGTCACCAGGATTAGCATCTTGAGGAAACTCAGGAGTTCCTGGTGAGTCTTCTCCAATCAGACTCAGGACAGAAACCTCTGTGAGATTCCCTGACTAGAATGGTCTTTAGGAAATTTGATCACAGCCAATGGCGAGGCAGGGCCAGGGCCAGTGTCATTTACAATCTCACTTGCTTCACGTCTGACCCTTCTCCTGACACTAAAGGAGGCAAGTCAGCAGCAGCACTGAACAAGGGCCCCTTTTGCGAATTGCCCACTCTATTTCTTTTTATTTGTTGTTGTTGTTCTTGCTTTTCCTTGTACTCTTCCTGCTCCCTGTAAAGTGGGGATGGGGTTCTTGCTGCCAAAGTTCCAGGCCTCCAGCCCTTTCTCTGCAGCTCAGGCGGGGCTCAGGCTGTGGCTCCCGCAGCCACGTGGGAGAGACTGATGAGAGTTTCTTCTCTCCCATTGCTCAACACCCTCCAGTGTGTTGTCTGGAGACTCACCTGGAATGCAAGTGGCCAATAGTAGTGAAGCGAATGAGCTTGTGTGGTCAGAACGGGATGTGGATGTGAAATTTATCCCATGCTGGTCAAGCTATCAGAGTCACGTTCCTCACCAGTAGTGTTAGAAGGAGGGTGTGAAAGTTGTCAGAGTCAAAATAGAGCCACTTGTGTTAACACCCTGACAAATGGAACTAGGAGTAACATGCAGGGGGGTTCTCAGGCACACGCTCCTGATAACGAGAACTATCATAAATGGATGCTGCTTAACCACAGCCTTGGATAGAAGCCACCACAACCTTACAAAAATCTCTTCCACTAGGAAATCTTCCCAGCAACTCCCTGTTTAACCCTACACTGATGCCACCCTTGGTACTGATTCTACAAGCACAGGATAATCCTCTGAAAACAACGTATGTAACCCACCTCATTTTCACTTCTTAATCCTATGGATTGACAACCCGGAGTCACTGCTATATGTGTTGTTGATGTTAATAAGCCTATTTTACAATATTTGAGGCTGTTTTTCTCTGATATCTCTTCTAACATAAAGAATTCCAAGTTGATGCCAATAAAGAAGCTAGTTAGGAAGATGTGATGGGAAGGCATCTTTAACACCATGTGGAATGTTTCTGCATAGCACATCAATCCCATGAAATACCTTGCTGTATTGGCATGTGATGAATCAGAGTATAATATTGGCAGTAAAATGGAAAATACATGGGCTTTTGATGAATCAAGTGAAAGGGTGATAATGTCCATGCCTTGAGGGGGCAGACCATGGGTAGTAAGTTCTAGTGGGAGTACCTTTGGCAAAGGGAGTTTCTGAGTTTCTGAACATCATGCTACTTTTAAATTAAGAATGCAATTTATGATTTACTTTAACTGAAACCTATTCAGAAGATTTTTGGCAGTAAGGGCAGAGCAGCATTTGTGTACTACTAATGATTTAAAGAGTTGTTTGTAATTGCTCCTGTAAAGTATGCAC